TATAGGAATATATATATGTATATGAAGATGTATATATATATATATATGTGTATATGTATGTATGTATGTATGTATGTATGTGTGTATGTATGTATGTATATATGTATATACATGAATATATATATTTGAATGAATATATATGTATATAGGAATATATATATGTATATGAATATATATATATATGTATATGTATGTATGTATGTATGTATGTATGTATGTATGTATGTATATATGTGTGTATGTATGTATATATGTACTGTATGTGCATATGTGTAAAACTGCCATTCTGTGTTTGCCCATTCCTCATTCCTGTCCTCTCAAACCCAGCCAGTTGAAGCAGATGGCTGCTCATCTTGAGCCTGGTTCTTCTGGAAACTCCAAAGTCCATGCTCAATAATCCAGGTATAAAATCCAACTATGTTCAGTCAGGTTATTTGGACGGTTTCTTATTTTGTGCTGAGACGTTTAGCCCTCCATCTGGAAGGCTTCATCAGTCTGAGGAAACACCAAACAAAATTGATTCTCCCCCAACAGCTAACTCCAAAGTGGGGAAAAACAGTTATGTAGGTCCTAAGATGGTCTCTGGGGCATGCGCTCTCCTCTGGTGCCCGCCCTCTCCCTCATCAACAGTCATGTCAAACAGGTTCAAAACACCAATGTCCATGCTCATTAATCCAGGTATAAAATCCAACAATGTTCAGTCTGGTCATCTGGACGGTTTCTTTTTTGTGCTGAGACATTTTGCCCTCAATCCAGAAGTCTTCATCAGTCTGAGGAAACGCCAAACAAAACTGATTCTCCCCCATCAGCTTACTCCAAAGTGGAACGGAACTGTGGATGTTGCATTTTATACCTAGATTGAGCATGGACTTAGGTGTTTTGAACCAGTTTGACATGACCGTCGAGTCTCTACGACGGAGCGGACAGGCACCGGAGGAGAGGGCATGCCCCAGAGACCATCTTAGCACCAACATAACTGGTTTTTTTTCTTTCAATTTGGAGTAAGCTGTTGGGGGAGATGTAGTTTTGTTTGGGGTTTCTTCAGACTAATGAAGCCTTCTGGATGGAGGGTGAAACACCTCAGCACAAAAAAAAAGGAACCGTCCAGATCACCTGACTGATCATTGCTGGATTCTGCTGGAAGGTTTCTCCCTGTTAAAGGGAGATTTTCCTTTCCACTGTCTCCTTTGTGCTTGCTCAGGGTGGGCGACTGTGACGAAGTGAAGATTTAACACAATCTGCTGCTTCCTTATATAGGGAACTTTTAATTAACTATCTTTTATAATGTATCTGAATGTTTCTGTTCAGTGCCCTGAGACGACTCTGGGACTTGGAGCTACATAAATAAACTGAATTGAATTGAATTAGTCATAATCATAATTTTTCAATAGTGTGACACATGTGTAGAGTTATCCCAGTTGCTCTGTGGTCAATGCCATGGTCTTATAATTTGGAAGCTGCAGGTTTATGTCACTGTTGCATCGGGAAAGGGAGCAACTGAAGAAAAATGACAACATAAACTATCTTGTAATTAAATTTACTTTTATCATCTATTTTCAGTGAGTGTTGGTAAATTGTGTACGTTTAAAAATAATCTGGTTTACACAGACTCACACATAATTTGATTTTGTTTGTCAGTGACAGTGAATGTGGACGGAGAGTTCTACGTTAGTGGAGGGGGTCTCAGGTCAAAGTTCAAGGTGGCACACATCACCTTCCACTGGGGCCGCTGCAACGCCTCCTCAGAAGGCTCAGAACATGGCCTGGATGGAGTCAAATACCCTTTGGAGGTGAGACGTGAAATGATTGAGCTCAGAACGCCTCACATTTTATTCCTCCACACGCAAAGGTACATTTAGGATATATCCTCCTAATGTTATATGATATTATCTCTTGGAAGTTTGTGATAATATTTTCCGTCGGGCCCATACCCTGCCTTTGCGGGTGACAAGAGCTGCGAGGGCTACGCCGCAACAAGTAGGAGGACTGCTGCAGTGCACGAGTCTGGATGGAGCCACCTTGGGCACAGATCTTGGTGGTATTAGCAAACATTCAAACGACCTATGAAAGCCAAAGTGGAGAAGGGTTCCATGTGAACAGTAGTTGAACATGGGTCAGTCATTCCTAAGAGATGAGTGAATACCAGCGTGGGGCGATGGCCAACGTTGCCCCCAGCCGATCAAAGGGAGTCAGGTTCAGATCCTCGGACCTGGAGTGTTGGAGAGGGGTGCCGCAAGGCATCCAGTGCAGTAATGCAAGCGAACTCGGAGAAGCCAGCGGGAACCCCGGGAAGAGTTTTCCTTTCTTCGTGAATGGCAAGGCATCCTGAAATAGGTTTACAACAAACCCAACAGTTTGGGGACAAGTTAGTGTAGAGGTAGGGCAGCTGACTTGGGACCAGAAAGTTGCAGGTTCAACTCCCTGCCATGCCCACATGTTGTGGTGTCCTTGAGCAAGACACCAAATCCCTAACTACTACCCGGGCGCTTACAAAGCTGCCTGCTGCGCCACCTGGCTGTATCTCGTGTGTGATGGGTTAAATGTAGAACCAATTTATTATTTTATGGGAACATACAATGATGACAACACATAGTAAAAAACAAACAAACAAAAAAAGAACAAAGAATAACATTTGAATATTAGAGCTTGTAGGTAGCACCATTTGTGTAAAACTTCACTGAAATGGCAGATACAGAGAGAAAAAAAAAGTTTTTTTTTTTTTGTAATTCAATTCAATTCAAAGATACTTGATTAATCCCAAAGGGAAATTAAGTCTTGTCGTAGCTCATCATCCTGGTTTCATTCAAGAGTTGTTAGATGCTGATAGCTGTGGGCAGGAAGGATCTCCTGCATCGAATCCAAAGAATCTGGCCACAAATACGAATCCGTCCACCCGGATCCAGCTTGTTGTTGCATCCGGCAGGCCTCTTGGTCCTCCTGGGCAGCAGGACTGCCCGAATGCTGGGCAGAATTCCTCCCTGAGTGATGGTCACTCCTCCCAACAGTCTGTCGAGCTCCTCTTCACCACGGACAGATAGCTGAAGGTGCTGGGGGATGATTCCGGTCCTCCCATTATTACGAGCTGAGTTTCCCACCAGCTTCAGGATCTCGGCTGTCAGGTACTCGAGCACCGCAGCCAGATTGTTGGGAAATCGTCCACAGTGCCTCCTTTTCAACTCATTTGGGATTTGAGGCTGTGGTTTAGGTATTAGAGCTTCTGAGATGTTAATCAGCTGCTCCTGGTTTTTAAAAAACACATTGTTGCCATGGTTACACATCATAACAAATGCCCAAAAGTAAAAAGCATTCAGTAAAAATCCTTCCAGCTGCACAGCATTCAATACCAGAGGAAATAATCTTCCGACAAAAGTGATTCACATCCAGAAAAAAGAGGAGTTAAAGTTTTTAAAAGCAATAACTCAGAATGAATGGAACAGAGCTGCTCCAACATGCAGCCACCCCGAGCGGCACAGTGACTTTTAGAACATTTTTGTAAAACCACAATTTGAACAATCTGTAAACTGAACTCATAACAGATGCAGCAATAACGTTAAAAAAAAATTGCAGATGTTTAAAAAGACCTTGGTACTTCCTGCATGGTCAGCTCCTGACAGCTGGGGGTCTCTAGGGTGAGCACCATGAACCTTGCTGATGAGGGTAGGATCCAAACCTCACGAACAAAAGAGCATTCTTTACGCCATGTCCCTCCCAGTCAACCAGGTACCGAACCAAACACCCTGTATGGTTAACGATACGAGTGCTAGAAATGACATAATGACCATCAATGAACTGGCTGGTGGCAGGAATCATGAGTAGGGGACCAGTTTGGACACTGCCACAGGTTTGACTCTGAAGGTGAGGTAAATCGGAATAACTATTTACTGGAAGAGAGGTTTATTGTGATGTAATGCTGTGGGCCAGACTCGACTCTGTGGAAACTCAAACAGGTTTTTAACTTTATTTGTAAAGAACCAGCCCCAGTTTAGCACTCTTTAGTGGGAAAGTCCTTTTTATGAGTAGCACTACTTGTTTGATAAGTTCACCTCACAAATTAATTTCATGTTTTAGAGACCCAAAATGTCATCAATAAAACATGCCTTCAAAGAATTGTCCACAAACAGTTTTCTACACCTCTGTTGATTTTAATTCAAATTAAAAGGTTTGACTTGACAATACAATTTTTACCGCATGGTGCTTTTGTCCCATAGATGCAGATCTACTGTTATGATGCACAACAGTTTGACTCTTTAGATGAAACCAACAAGGCCGGCAGCAGGATCACAGCGTTGGCTCTACTCTTTGAGGTAGGTTTGTGTTTGTGTGATCTAAATAATATTTTATAAAAACATTTTTCCTCCAAACCCATTACCTAGCTGAACCCTGCCACCCCCAATCCAAATGTATTCATAGTTTCTGCTGCATTACTGCCTTTAAAAAAGGGCAGGCATGTCAGGAAAGTTCTAATTAATTCTGTGATGAGTGACAGACATTGTCGCACTGATAAATTCTCAAAATCAAAACATGATTAAAAAAACAGTTTATAAAGCACTACATCACATGTAGAGACGAACCCAGTCCTTAATTCTTAGCAACTATATCCAGTACAGTGTGCCTTCTTTAGTTTGCTGCAATGTTCGGATGCTTACAGGGGCTCCAGCAATGTCCAGAGGGATGTTCTTATATTTATTATGTGAAAATACCATACCATACCACTTTATTCATAAAGCCCTTAAAACAGCAACAAGGCCAACCAAAGTGCTGTACAGCAGAGCAAACAAGCAAAGGAAAAAGGATAAAATACATAGTCAAAGTCAAAAGTCATAATTTCTTTATTTGTCATACGCACCACATGTGGTACATGTGGTGGAACGAGATTGTGTACACAGGGTCCCAATTGAGTCCAACAAAAGTGCAAATTGTAAAGAAAAACGGTAATAAGATCTATATGAACTAAGAAATATGCTAATCTAAGAATACGCTAAGCACTAAAAACAATATGCCGAACAACAGCAACACGAACACGAGTCTGTGAACAGACGAGTACAAATGAACACAGCAAAGTGAAATAAATCAGCAGCGTAAGATCAGCAACATAGATAGTCAGCAGCACATATCAACAATCAAGTGGCATTGCAGTGATTTTTTTCACAGTGATAATCCTGATTAGGGATTCATGAGTCTAACAGCCTCAGGGTAGAAGCTGTTCCTCAGTCTAGTGGTTCTACACTTATTGCTCCTCAACATCCTGCCTGAGGGGAGTGGGGCAAAAAGTGTGTGTGCTGGGTGAGTGGGGCCCTTCATAATGCAGGTGGCCCTCTTCCTGCATCTGGAGGTGTAGATGTCTGTGATGGTGGGGAGACTGACTCCAACATCTTCTGTGCAGCCTTCACCACTCTCTGCAGAGCTTTTCTTTCTGCAGCTGTGCAGCCTCCATGCCACACGTTGATGCTGGAGCACAGGATGCTCTCCACTGCACACCTGTAGAAGGAGGTGAGGACTGAGCTTCACAGACCAGCTCGTCTCAACTGCCTGAGGAAGTAGAGTCTCTGATGAGCTTTCTTCATCAGGCTGGTGGTGTTGTTGCCCCAGCTGAGGTTGTCATTCATGTGTACACCCAAGTACTTGTGGCTGGAGACCACTTCCACCGCAGATCCTCCTATGTTCGGGTGGTAGGGTAGGTGTGTTTGTTCCTTCTGAAGTTCACGACCATCTCATCATTGTTTGTGATGCATCCCACCACTGCTGTATTATCTGTATTATCTGCAAACTTTACAATGTGACAGCCTGGATGGGTAAGTGCACAGTCATACATGAGCAGAGTGAACAGGAGAGGGCTCAGCACACAGCCCTGAGGAGACTCGGTGCTGAGGGTTATGGTGGTGGAGAAGTTGTGGATCCTCACAGACTGCAGTCTGTTTGTTAAGAAGTCTAGGACCCAGCTGCAAATGGAGGGGCTTACGTCCACATAGGTAAAATAAGAACTAAATGACTAACATTTGTAGATGAACAGATGCTGGGATATATTCATCATTTAACGCGGGTT